TTAACATGTAAACAATTATAGAAATATTAGGCGTAGTGGTACATATCTGTAATCTCAGCTACACAGGAGGCTGAGGCAGGAAAATCACAAATTCAAGGACAGCTTGGCCAACTTAGTCCTTGTTTCAAAACAAAAAAAAAAAATTAAAAGGGCTGGGGATATAGTTTTGACATAGAATGCCTCCAGGTTCTATCCCTCGTATCAAGAGAAAGCCAGGAAGAGAGAAATTAATTTTTTTCCATCAGTGGCCAATAATTTTATCAATCAAATAGGAGAAACTAATTAATTAATTTGGACACCAGCTACAATGTGGATGAAACCAGAGGATATGGCGCGATGTGAAGCAAGCCAGAGGGCTGAGTACTGCACACATCTGAGGACCCTGAGTGGCCAGACTCACAGGGACAGCAGGGAGAACACAGACTGCCTGGGGTATGAAGGGGCGTGGGGAGGGACTGTTTCAGGAGCACCAAGTTTCAGTTTTGCCAGAGGAAAAAGTTCTGGAGTCAGCCTAACATTGTAACCTGTTCAACGGTACATTTAAAAATAGTGAAGGCAACAGATTTAATGCTGCATGTATTTTACCACCATTAAAATATTGCTGGGGATTTAGCTCAGCGGCATAAGCGCCTGCCTTGCAAGCAGGCAGTCGTGAGTTCGATCCCCAGTACCAATAAAAAAATGAAAAAGATAAAAAAAAAAAAGAAGTAAAATATTTTTCAGCTCAACCAATTATATGACTAATTCAGTAACTGAGAAATCAGAAACAGCCAACAATTATGTATCATCACACACATACGTGTACGTGTGTCCTTCTTCTCTGAGTTTCTTCCTGGAACTCCAAGGGGTCTTAGGATTTTGGAGTCCTGACCTCAAACACATCTCTACTCTCCCTTCTGAACCAGCAAGGCTTCCAAAGCATCAAGTGATTACCCTTGTTCTAGGCTTTCGGCCAAATCTCCATCACACATCTCACTAACTAGATATCCATTCTGTTTGACAGATTCTTATCAAACAAGAATCTCCCGGACAGCCTGGAATTTCTCACTCACAGAAGGGGCAGCTGACTTTTAATTGCTGAAGGTTCTCCACAGCTAAGAATAACACTAGGAAGGAATCTTGAGTGAGGCAAGGATGAACAGTGGGGACGAGAATGATTTTAGAACACGCTGTCTTTCGGGGCAAGAGAGATCTAGAAGGAGCACCTCAACAAGGGGGCACAGATGGATGGCACTGAACTGCACGGAGGGCACAGGGCCAGGAAAGATCAACACGGGGACAGGGAGAGAGACATAGAATGGAAAGAATATTAGGAAGCACTTTATTGACCTATCAATGTCTTTATGCATTTGATGCTGCTATAACCAAATCCCTGAGACTAGTTACTATACAGTATAGTGAACAGAAATGTATTTGGCATATGGTTCCAGAGGCCACATGTGGTGAAGGCCTCCTTCCTATACAAGAAGGGAGGCGTCACATGGGTGAGAGGAAACTCGAGGCCTTGAGTCCTTCTCTGATCAGCGTGAATTTATGCACAATGGTGCCTCCCTCTTATTAGATCCCATTTCCCCCAACCATTGCACTGGGCATTAAGTTCCCAACATGTTTTAGGGGAGACACACTCAAACCATGACAGTGATGCTGCCCTGCTCAGCAGAATGCTGTCTGGTTCGCTCACTGGCGCCTGCCCCGGAGAAGAACACCAGCTCCTGGACACCCTACCCTGTACAGCTTGATTGCTGCAAGGACAGGTACCCCAAGTCCCGTTGAGGGCCATTATTCAGTACCCCACTGAACTGCTGATTCAGTCAAGACCACGCTTAGTGTGAAAGGGGACAATTTCTTGGAGGGACAAAAGAGGTGGAGGACCCTTGGGCACTGGCAAGTAGAAGTAGGCCTGCTGTGGTCTGGATGTCAAATGTCCCCCAGAGGTTCAGCGCAAGGGCTTGGTCATCAGGGTGACGGTACAAGGATGTGCTATGAACCTTTAAAAGGTGTGGCTTTAGAGGAGGTCCCTGGGTCATTGTGGATGTGTCCTCCAGAGGTTCTGTGGGGTCCTGTCTTTCTGCTCTCTCTACTTCCTGGTTCAAGATGCCAGCAGTCTCCCACTCCCTCCCCGTCTCCTACTTTCTCACCATGATGTGGTCCAAAGTCGTAGGGATGCCTGATCTTCAACCTGAAACCACAAGCTGAAACAAACTTCTCTTTAGTTCATAAGCCACCCGTCTCAGGTATTTTGCTACTGTGAAAGGATCCTGACCAATACACCAAGAGAGCTGCCCATCTGCTCTCTACTGCAAGAGTCTCAGAGAAATTCACAGTAGTAATCAATATAACCTCACTGCTGCCCAACATGGACTCCTGCAAGGACATATATGGGAAGAAAGGATTATAGAGCGAAGCATTCCTCATTCACAGCTGCTATAATGGCTCTTTCCCTTCACCAAAACCTGGCAGCCTAGGTTAAACTTTTCAGGTGATTTTGGATCCCTCTGAGTACATCCACTCAACCTCTCTCATCTCACATGAGCTACATGATTAAGGAATCTGCTCCTCCCCACCCCATATCCTTGCTAGAGGAACAGCAGGATCTCAGAAGGACAGCTGAGCAAAGCCACTCTGACCATGTATTATCAGCACCTGCAAAGCAAGACTTGGAAGGAGGGAAGGCATGAGGCAGGGACCCAGGAAGCCACATCTTTGTCCCAGAGCTCCTAAGGGATGTGCTGAGATGCTCATTAACTGAAAACTATGCATTGACCACTCAGTTTGGTCAAAATAGAGCGCCCAACTGTCCTTTTGGAAGTCACCATTACTGCATACATATACACATATGCCCACCCCTTTCTTCTTAAGCAGACATGACACATTCAGATATTCTGTGCACCAATCCATGTGCATGATCTTAATCATGAATGGCCACATGTGCACCCTGTATTCAATAATGCTGGATGGGACAGGCAAAGTCAGGAAGGGCCGCAGCAAGGTCAAGCCAGAATCACCTCCACCACTAATAACCAGACACCTGTGGTCAACGTGGGTTTTCAGAAGCGCTGGTTTACTTCTGGGTGCTCTTCTCTCCCAACCTCTCACTCCATGTGCCCTAGAGTCACAGTTTAGAATTTCTATTAAAAGTAGGAGTGTTCAAACAAGCAGCCATAATGACCAAACAGCTAAGCTTCTAAATGGGCCAGAAACTAGACGGGTTATCCAGCCCAGGGAAACTACATCTTTCCGACTCCATTTTAACTCGCCTCCACCACTACAGGGTGGCTGGCCACTGTCATCTCCTGCCCCAATCTGTCACTCTTTATGTGATCTCTTCTTATGACCCAGGTGTCTTCTGCTGCCTGTAGGATACTGTCTACACCTCCTGCCTTACATGAGGCTGTTCGCAGGACCACACTGCCCTCTCGCATCGTGGCCCTCACCTCATTTCACAACCAGTTTGAGGGTAAGGTACACATGGAAGGGGAAACCTACGATAGTTATCTGACTGCTTGGAAGTTTTTTGGGCTAAGAGTCTTCCAGTGACCTCGAGATTAAATACGAATATAATTATAGATGAATATAAAACCCAGTAAACCAGAGGATGGAACAATTAAGAGGAGAGACACAAACTGAGTGGCTCTTTTTCCTATGTTGGTCCTATGAAAGCTCACCCCTCGACTATTGTTGTTGACTCTCAGTTGTTCTCTGATGCTTTCCGGTGTGTATGCAGCCTGGACGGAAACAAAAGCTCATGGAAATCCTCGTGGGTGTGTGAAGATCACCCCCGACTCCCCAGAACCCTTTTAAAATGAAACCCCTTGGAACTTCTTATGACTAACCTTCCCCTGCCCTGGAAGGCAGGACGCACAACAGGTACCCAACATATGGCCATTCATGGATTGATTTTGCATCTTCATTGTGAGTGTGAGACAGTAAGGCCCAACAAAGGTTAACACATTATGCACTGAAAATGACCGGATGAGAAATTGAGGCAGTGAAAAAAATACTGTGCCAGAAGGATAAAGGTCACCCTAGCAAAGAAAACATTCTGTGTGAGAGGACCGCTGCTGTTATTTGCACAGGGTTCATATCTGCCGGCAACGTTGAACCTTTTTTTAAAACCAGGGTTAACCAAAGTACCCTTCTTTGTCTTTCCATTAACACACTGTAAAGGGTTTGGTCTTTCCATGGGGGCGGGCTTTTTCCCCATTTTCTTTTCTTTTCTCCCCCCACCTCACCCCCTTCGAATACAATCCACTCCTCCCCATCCCCACAGTGCCTCCCCACAGGGCAGGGAGCGCTCTGGAAAGCCCTTGCTGGGCTGCTCAGCACAACTTTGTTCTCCGCATGGTCTATGTAGGAGACTCGGTTTCTTCGGGTGATTCCTCGGCCTCCCTGACTCTTCCATGCCTTGAACACGAGTCGCGGTTGGCGAGCTTCTTCCAGTCGTCCGGGAGGCGCTGGCCATGGTCCTGACCTCCGAGCTCGGGATGCGCGTGCGGACAGCACCAGAGGACGTGGGCCTGCGCGCGGCTGTCGGAACCCCGGCCCCTCCCGACCCCCGGGGAGCCCGCGGGCCTTCCTGCAACCCCTCCACTGCGCGCTCCGAGCCGCATCGGAAAAGGGTGGGGCACCCAGTCACGGCTGCAATCGGAAGGCGCCCGGGAGAATTTCAGAAGAAAGGAAACGTGGTCCGCGCAAGCCCCATGCGCGACGCCCCCCACCCGCCGGGGATCGGCCGTCCTTTCCACCCGCCCCCCAGCTCCCAGCCCAGGGAGTCGCGGGCAGCCTTTGTGGGCGCGCGGCCGCCCACCGCCGGCCTCGCCGCACCCTACACAAGAGGGCGGGCAGGGAGGGCGCGTGTGCAGATGCGGAGCCGCGTTCCGGGCGGGGCCTGTGGGGGGCGGGCGGGCACGTGGGGGGCTCGGTTCTCCGCGAGGGGCAAAGAGCTAAGGGAGACGAGCTCCGCGCCCCGGCCTCGGCCTCCACCCCCGCCCCATACCAACCTGGTCTAAGATGTTCTGCAGGGCTTCCTTGCCGGTGGCCCGCCGAATCTCCACCTTCCGGCCGGATTCAACAGATGGCTCCTCGCCGGGCCGCCGGCCCTGCCGGGAGTAGGGCGGCTGCGGGTCCGGCCCCAGGTGGGCGACGTCCCGCTGCTGAGCCACCACCTGCCCCGAGCCCCGGCCCACCGACAGTGAGTCGAAATCGATGGTCTTGTTCTCCGAGGACCCTTCCACCGGGCAAAACATGCCACAGAATTTCTGCCGGGGCTTGGGGCTGCCGGAGCCCAGGTTCTTAAAAAACGCTGGGACCTCTTCGTCCTCGCCTGCTTTCCCGGATTGCTTCCTCTCAGCCATGGCGTACGGGTTCGGGGCCGGTCCTCTGCGTCCGTCTGTCCCTCCGTCCGTCCGTCCGTCTGCCCTCCGGGTCCGTGAGGCTGCCTATCCCTGGGCGCAAACCCCTCGCAGCCGCCTCGCCGCCCGCAAGGTGCACAGAAAGGAAGCGGGGCTGGCAAGCAGCGACCCGCCCTGGTGGTCCCTCCCCCTGACCTCGCTCTCTCCCCTCCCCGCCCACGCCCCCCGCGGCCGCTGCGCGAGCTGGGGCGAGCAGCAAAGTTGGGTCTGGGAGCGCGGTGGCTGCGGCAGCAGGAGCCGGCAGGGGCGCGGTGGGGCGGGGCTGGAGGGGGCGGGGCTGAGGGAGGGGGAGGGGAGCCCCGCGCTCCGGAAGTGAAGCGCAAGACCACTGGCTCCTGGATGCTTGGCGGCGGGCGCCGGGGTGAGCACGCGCGGGGCAGCGGGGTGCGGACCCGCTCTGCCCTGCTCAGGTGGGCCGGGGTCGGGGGCGCACGGGGCGCGAGCTGCTGCGATGCCCGGCCCTGCGATGGGCGAGGGGCGGTGCGGCCAGTGCGGACCGGCGGCAGCATCCGCGCGGTCCCCAAACTCTCGTTAAGCCGCGATGTGCCGGGCGGAACCCGCAGGCCCTCATGGGGTGCAGCCTCTGTGGTTGGGGCGCACAACATGGCGAGGAGCGAGCCGAGGCGCATAGGGTCGGAGCGGGCTCGATAGGGTGTGGGCTCGGGTCTGTGGCGCGTGGCAGCGTGCGCGGTCTGCGGATTGCAGCTGCGCGCGACAACGTTGAGAAAAGGCGCGGACCCCAGCGTTCCGAGTACCAAGCCACGCCGATGGGCGTGGGGGTGTTGTGATTTGGCACGTTCTGGTCCCCCCCCCCCGCGCCATCCCGGGACCCGGTGGCCCGGAGCCGACCCCCTTGCCCACACAGTAGCTCGCACCCCGGGCGCCCTCACAGCGAAGAGGTGGGGGTGTAAATGGGCGCCCACTCCCCATCCGCGCTGCCAGGCACCCCGCCCCTGTTGCGCACTGCGCCAGAGCCACGAGGATTCCGGAGTGGCTGGACGCTGCTGGCGCGGGGTTCAGTAGGCGAGGCCCGCTCATCCCCCACCCCACCCCGTGTCGGGGTGCGCGAAATGCGTCGGGCAAGGCCGGGGAAGGGCGTGTGCGGACTTGGTGTCCCGTGCCTATCATCTTAGTGTCTTGCCATGGCAGCCGGTTGGCAACTCTAGAGGGGAGAATTTGACAAGTATGGGGCCTTTTCTTGTTCTTGTCTATCTCCACATCCGGTCCACTAATAGCCCCAGTCTCAGGTCCACGGTAGCCCCACGTTTTTCCCGCGTGGCTGAAAGCTACGGGAAACAATGCTCATCTTTAAGCGCATGCTGGGTAACTTGGCCCTAGAGGGTCCAGGCGAGGCTGGGGGCGGGCAGTTCGCGCATGTCAGTGTGGCCAAGAGTCCAGTTCCCTGGGCAGCCCAGCCCCCAGAGAGAATTAAATGCGGGTGCCCACTGCCCTCCACCCCCTTGAGGGAGAGTTGAATGAACCGAGCTCAGTGTGGAAGACTTGCGGTCAGTTTGAAGACATCTCCACCCAGGAGAGGAGAAGACACTTCTGGCAGCGTGGAGAGCCAGGCAGGCATCTGGAACCAGAAGCGCTTCGCAGTTAGCTTTTCCAGACCCAGAGGCCGCCTGAGACTCCCGCTCCACATTAGGGAGGTGGTTTGGAGAGATGGAGGACACGTCCAAGGTCAGAGTTCTGGCTACCCTAGGGACACTGCCAGGGGGCTTCTCCACTTCCAAGCCTGATCTTATGGGCTCTTTATGTGAGAAAATCCGAAGTTCTTACTTGTATTTGTTCATACCCACGTATTTCTGCCCACAGCCCTATTGTGTATGAAGGGAGTTTCTCTTCCTGTTTTAACAGAAGGTCCCTCGCAAGTGGGATCACTTGCAGGTGACAGAATGTCCAAAGGTAGCTGTGGGAACTTTTTCTTCCTCCCGCTTCAGTGCTTTGTTTCTTCTCTCCCAAAGGGACAAAGGTCACCTGGAGAGGTCCCCTGGGACACTCAGCAGCCCCAGGTCCTCGAGGCAGCGTTTTCCCTCCTGGCCCTCTGGATCTCCGAGGAGGACTCAGGCCGAGAGGGTAACAGTCATAGCCTGCCACGCACTCTCTGGGAGACACGCAATCACACACAAGTAACAGCACTTCCATGGCCAGCAGGAGGCACAGTCACAATGGTCTCCTACATCCCCTCCCTGTGCGTTGTCCTGGTGTGTGTAATGATGTTTGCAGTGACCAGATCACCCAAGGCGATGGTCACAAGGTGCCCCTGTGGCCGAGTGATGATTACAGTAGCAGGGACTTTTCTTCCCTCTGACACCTGGTCGCCTGCCAGGGCTGTCAGACCAAACAATAACCCCACTCCCTTTTGTTGTTTTTGTGTGTGTGTGTGTGTGTTAAGACAAGACCTCACTGAGTCACTAAATTGACCAGGCTTGGCCCAAACTTGCAGTCCTCCTGCCAAAGCTCTAGAGTGCTGTGCTTACCAGTAAGCGCCACCACATCCTGCCCCATTTTTGTAATTGTTACGCCTATAGTAAATTGTTTTTAAACGTCTTACTGACTCACTGTTGGAATTTTTTTTTTTTCTGAGGATTAAATCCGGGGCACTCTATCACTGAGCTACAGTTTCAGCCTCTTTTTATTTTTTATTTTGAGACAAGCTCTCACTAAATTTCTCAGGCTGGCCTCGAAGTTAGTATCCTCCTGCCTCAGCCTCCAGAGTAGCGCGATTATAGACATGTAACACGATGGATTATTAAGTCAAAGAAATGGAACAACTCCATCTTTTTTTAGAGAAATAATGAAACTATGAAGGATTATTTCATTTTTCATTCTTCTTTACCGAATTGTCATATTTTTCAGTAAACATTATTTTAGCACATTAATTTTCATCCTTAGATACAAGTTAGGCATGAAATGTGTATTATTCTTACTTCTGTGTGACAGGGCAGCTTGGCTTACTGGGAGGTGAGTGACATCTTCCTGTGCTGGACCCTGATATATAAGGTCCTTGACTCTCAGAACATTCTGGAACACACAACAGGTATCTGGCTCCATATGCTTTCTTCCCTCGAGTGGCCTTTAGTCAGGAGTCTGTGGCAGGGATGGATTTCATGGGCTCTCCAGAGGGACAGAAGTCCTGGTCAGCAGAGACGGGGCCTGAGAGAGGGGTGGCAGAGTCCACAGAGCACCCTGAGGCCCACCCCAGACTAGAGCAGGGACAGGTCCTTGGCCGGAAGGGCTCATGGTAACACTGAGCATTGTTTCTCCAGGACCCAAGCGCCCTGCTGAGAGCCTCTGCCCAGGCTCAAAGCAGAAGCGTCTGGAGTCTGGAAGGGTGAAGGGTTGGAGCCTGGGCGACATGGGCAGAGTCCCTACCATGTGCCGCCACCTGCCCACCGCCACCGTGCTGAGTTCCTGGCACTGGGCAGGAACAAGTGACTGGACCAGAAGACTTGAACACAGGGCCCCGTGCTCAGCTGGGTTGCACTGAGAAGCTTCCCTGGACTTGGTCCCTCCGCCCCGCTCCTCGGCATCCTGGCGGGAGCGTGCCAATAACCCTGCAGGAGGACTGGTACCAGATCATGGGTGTGGACGGTCAGAAGTCGCTGATGGTGACTGGCATCCCGGTGGACTGTGGGGAGGCTGCGACCAAGCCATCCTGCAGGAGACCTTGAAGTCGGTGGGGCCGGTACAGACTGCTTGGGAAGATCTTCCAGATGCAGGAGAACACTAGTGCCCTCCTGCTGGAGCTACTGGAAGAGCTGGATGTCTCAGGGATCCCGAGCAACGTGCTGGGAAAGGAGGGTGTCTGGAAAGTGATCTTCAAGATCCCTAACCAGGACACTGAGTTTCTCGAAATACTAAAGCTCTTTCTAGAAAAAGAGGAGCCAGACGGTCTCGGGGATGTTCCGAGCCCTTGGGCATGAGGGAATGTCTCTGGCTCCTGTCCCCTGCATCTCCCCAGGGCTGCTGGCCCATTTGCTGGGACAGGAGATGGCACAGGCCCCTAAGGCCCTCCTGCCATCGGTACCAGAAGCTGAAGGTCTTCTCAGGGAATGCCATGCCTGCCCCAGAGGAGGAGCCCTTTGAGGGCTGGTGGGAACAGGCCACAAAGATAGTCAAAGTGTGGCCCATCACTGAGGTGGGAAAGAGGAGGTGTGTTGTGGAGAGCCTGCGGGGCCCCACCCAGATCTCATGTGCATACTTCAGGCTGGCAGCCTGTCCATCAGCACAGGGGAGTCAAACAGGTGTTCAGGAGCCCAGAAAGCCCCAAGTCCTCCCAGGTGAGGTTCCTGAGGTTCTACCAGAAGGAGGGGGAGAAGGTCTCAGCCTATGTGCTGCAGGTGGAGACCCTGGTCCAGAGGGCCGTGGAAAGGTGAGCCATCCCCAGGAACATCGCCAACCAGGTCCTCCTGGAACAGGTCATGGCCAGGACCAACCTCAGCAAGGTCCTGTGGTGTCACCTCAGGGAGCTGAAGGACCAGGAGTAGCCACCTGGCTTCCTGTAGCTGATGAAGGTGATACGGGAAGAAGAGAAGGAGGAGGAGGGGGAGGGCTCCTTTAAAAATGAGAATATGTGGGAGCCACAAAAAGGAGATGGCTGTGGCCACTGGGAGAATGGAAGACAGGACTGAAAGCCAGCTAGAAGTGGCTGCCCCAGACCAGTGGACCTGGAGACTCGCCTGATTGGGCTGAGACCTTTACAGTATTTTTTCCCTTTTAATGTACTGTATTGAAATTAAGGTGTTTGAGCCAACTCCTGCTTTTCTTTCTAGGAAAAAAAAATGCCTGGAGTTTCTTATACCCTCAGCAGATTGTTAATAAATAAAAGATTGAATTCCAAATGTTAGGTATTCTAAAGAAATCTGAAACATCTATACTTCTAGTTCTTTTTAAATAAATACCCCAAATAGACTAAAATGTATTCATACAACAGAAGGACATCAAAAAAAATAGTTTTTTGTGATGAGTTTGAAAAATGAAGTGTCTTAGCCTGCCATGGGTTTACCTGTCTCAAATCAGCAAATTCCTGCTGAGTCTCAAGCACACGAGACAAGACACAGGAGTTAGGAAGCTCCGGCCAACCGAACAGTTCAGCAGTAGTGAATCTCAAAGTGGACAGGCTCTGGGGAGCCTCCGGCAGAGATGGAGAGCTGCTGGGCACCGTGCGTAGGGAGGGGTGTGGACAGATGAGTAGGACACCCCCTCCTCCAGCTTCTCTTCTCTCACCTGGGAAGTATTCCTCCCGCCTTTCCTCGGGCAGGCTTCATGTAGCTCAGGGCTCCCCAACTCCCCAAAGTTGGAGCTGGGCATGGCAGGAGGTAAGGGGCCAGCAAATGAGTGAAGCTTTATATTTGTAGCTGGCTGCGTCTCTCAGGTCACCCCACCCCTCCCCCAACTTCGCCTCCTGTCCAATCAGAAGCAGCATTGGGTTCTCCAGAGAGTGAGCCCACCTGTGACCTGCAGAGGGTCAGAAGCTAGAGACTGAAATGAAAAAGAAGTAAAGAGGAGCTGACCTGAATACTGTCCCATGGTTCCAGGTCTGTTTTATGCACCAGCATGATCTGATGTGGGGGAATCTAGCTTGTAAGTTCCTTCAAATCACCACCAAACCATTCATAAGCCATCCTTCCCCCAGCTCCCGGAAAAACTGTCTTCCATGAAGCCAGTCTCTTGGCACCACTGATGTAGATGGTTCCAGAACCAGATGCTGCATTGTGTGTTGAAGATCCAGGGGACAAGGCCCCATCCCAGCTTTTAGGAGGCCCTAGGCACAGAGGTAGCCTCGGGAAGGGTGGCCATCAGAGGGGGGCAGCACACACAAGACAGGCATGTGTGTGTGGCCATCAGGCTGGCCTGTTAGGGCAGGAGGTTTTTTTTTTTTTTTTTTGTCTTTTTCGTTTTTACCGGTACCAGGGATCGAACTCACGACTGCCTGCTTGCAAGGCAGGCGCTTATGCCGCTGAGCTAAATCCCCAGCCCCATGGCAGGAGGTTTTGAGTGGCAGCAAAGGGCAAAGAGGAAAGAATCTCACAGTTCCCGAGGGTCTGCGGTATGTAAGGAACTCCTCCATTGTCTGTGAAAGTATGCAGCAGCTGTGCTCTCTACTGGGATTTTTATTTTGTTCTTTATTGTATTTGAAAAGAAACGGAGATCAGATGGGTTCAGTGGTTGCCCCAACACCAAAACACTGCGTAGCATAGCTGAAGCGGAAGCCTGGCTAACCCACCCCCACCATTTCAGGTTGTGTTCTCCAAGTTCTGTAGAAACTTTTCAGCAGTCCCATATTCAAAAATACGCTTTCTGCCATTTAAATAATCACATATAATAGGCTCGAATGTGTTGATGTACAAGTATTAGCACTCAGCATTTACAAGCAGGTTTACCCTCGTTTCCAGATTGGCCCACTTTGTGTAGAGACAAACCTACAAACCTTTCCTGCTGGTATCTGTGTGCTTATCCCAAACTCCTCTATGTGTCCATTGTTTAAAAGCTGTAGCACCTCATGCAAGTTTAAGTCAGGGCCCCACGTGCATCCTGTCCTGTGCCAGTCACATCACTGTCTGCTCCATGCTAGGCAAAGCTCTGATGCAGTGATGTACATACAGTACTGTGGTAGAGCTGTGCACACTATAAACCAATTGCTTAGCTTCTGTAAACCTCAGTCTCCTCATCGGAAGATAGGGTGATGAGATTACAGGGTGGTTGTTAGCCTCAAAGGACAAAACGTCTTCTAAGCCCTTCGGTTGATGTCTGGCACTTAGAAGTGGGTCAGTACATTGATGCTCCTGGGATTTTCGTGCTGCTTGTTGTCATCGTAATGCATGCTCTCCTCACTGTCCCTCCACTTGTGCAGGAACAAGTAAAGATGTGACCTTCCAATCCCCGTTGTGATGCCTTTGCATGACAAACCATTTTTAGCCTTTTGGATTGGTGGTGAGTATTCCAGCAGCTGTTGACCATTTTTGTTAGTGACTTGACTTTAAAACAACATTGTAGGCTCGTTTAACTGAAGAATACCTTGAGATGAACACAAAAGCACTTTACCTAAGGTATCGTTTGTCTTCCTAGATGACTGTTTCTCAGTTCTGTTTTACCAGACTGGTGTGACTGTCATCCATTACATCTTGATTTCACGTGGTTTTGTTTCCCTGAAAATGGCTTCATGATTGTCATTTCCATTGTAAAGTTGTAAAATAAATCTATGCCAATAAAATTGTTACTTCCCTTTCCTGATGCCTACATTGTGGTCTATATAAGCTGTTGTTTGAAGAAGGAGCCTCTCTACTTAAAAAAAGTATTCTGGGAGACACTTTTAGAAAATCAAGCTAAAACCGAAAGGACTTGAACTCCTCTGAGCCAGAAAACCTGAAATGCCAACAAAATGTCTGGAACATGTCTCCAGGGATGGGAGAGAGTTTAGCCCACTCCTCCTTGATTTTCCTTTTAAATAGACAGGAACAGATGGAAACCGCCTCCTCTGAGACCACCAGCTCACTTGATCGGGGAAAATCACTGTCCAGACAAACTCCCCAGCCTCTGATCTGCCGTGGATGAAATGATCTAAAGGTGGAATCTTACATTTCCAGGCTGAAGTCAGCTTCCTCTATGCTGACGTACAGGGGGAAATTTCCTCCTCCCCTTGAGCCCTCATAACCCCTACATTGGTGTCCCCCACCGTCAGAGAGATTGGAAGCTAGTGGTAGTGTCTGTCCCTGCTCACCACCATTGCATTTCTGCTTCAGATACATTCCCTCTTCCTGGCAGGTGCTCGCTACTCCGCCAGGGACCGTGGAGGTAGGGGTCCGGGGGAGCCTGAACCATCAGTGGCTGAGTAAAGGGCAGAGTCCGCCCATGCCAAGAAGTAAGCACACATAGAACTGGCTGGGCGTTCTCTAACATCAAAGGAGCAGGAAGAAAAGGATAATGACTCAGCTGTGTCCATGGGAGTCCTACAAGCCTGGGAAAGCAAAGAGGGCCAGAAGCTAGAGACTGAAATGAAAAAGAAGTAAAGAGGACCTGACCTGAATAATGCCCCACAGGTCTGTTTTATGCACCACCAGCAGAATCCTCCGGTGGTCTAATCACCTAGGACCAGGGCAGGTGTATCTCCCAACCCCATCTGTCTGTGAGCCAAGAATCCTGGGTTTGTCCAGGGAAGTCCTGCACTCACTGAAATGCTGTCTTATAGTGGAAGAACACGCCGTGAGTGGCCTAAGAAGCCAGCCTTCCCATTGGACTGGGGCAGGGAGTCATCTAGTCCCGACCCCAGCGACCCCACTCCCTTCTGTGCCCAAGCGCGCCTCAGTATTCCAGATGCACATTTTCTAAAAATCACTGTAACTTCAGGAGTGCATCAAGATCAATTTTATCAGCCAGAAAAAGGTGTAGGATTTCAGTCTTGCTTTCGGGACACCATCTGGATGCCCATTAATTGTCAGGGTGCATTGAAGCAGCAGTTGAGGGTTTTCTGTGTTTCCCAATTGCCTCCCCTCTGCCTTAGAAAGCAGAGTCACCGAGGGGAGGAGTCTCCGTGCTAAAGCTGGCTGCCTCTAGGGCAGTCCATGGGAGGCAGGGAAAGGCCAAGTCTCCATCCCGTCCTAATGATAGGCCCAGTCAAGGTCTTTCCTCACCAATAAGTCTTTCCCAACAAACTTAATTACTAAAAATAAAAGCTTTCTTCACCAACATTTGTGACAAAAGTCAACTTGATACTCCTGGTGAGCATATGCCAGGCAGTGGAAACCAGATAGGTGAAGGAGGCTGAGCCACATCTTCCATGACAGCCTAAGGCAGGGTAAAGATTGATGGCCAGGTGTGCTGCCATCTTTGAAAAACTGTACCTCAATCCAGAATGGCTTCGGCCACTTCTGGGTCTAAAGCTAAAATAGTAATTCTTAGGCCTCCCACGAACTGTCCCTGGTGTGGCTTGACAGCCTACGAGTGGCAGTGTGGGGTGAGAAACAAGGCTGTGAGGTCCCAGAGGCCTCACTCAGAGCTTCCTACGGGATTTAGTAAGTGAGGTTCCCTGGCAAAGCCCTGGAGCCCCTAAATCCCATTTCCCCACCTGCACCACTAGGTTGATCAGCCCCTGAGCTGCTTAGGACTGTTCTCTCCTTGACCATGTCTGCCCCACGTGCCCTGATGCTTCAGAATTCATGACGGCATGATCTGAAATGTATTCCACTGCTGACAGTAAAGGTTGACTTATGCTAGGAATTTTAGTGCAAGGAGTTAGGCTGGGCACATCTGCTTCCTCTGGTGCCAGGGTGGCCTGTGGTGTCTGCCAGGAGTGGACAGGTGACACTGCTGAACTGGACATCTGCTGAGGAAGTGGACGGAGCACACAGACACCAAGCTAGGGCGGGAAGGACTGTGGACAGAAGGAGAAGAGGCAGAGGAGGCCGACCCTTAAACCTACCCACACACACACACACTACTGGCATTTCCTGCCTACACGGGACACAACAGAAACAAAGATTTAGAAATAGATGAGAAGTGGAATAAAATGTAGAGCATGCTGTCAATTCCAAGCAGAATAAATAACGAAGAGCATTAATACACAGGCACATCATAAGGGCTGTTGTAAACTAAAGGCAAAGGTAACATGTTGAAAGTGGACAGAGGAAATGTTAGGGATCCCTGCTGACTCATGATGAGAAAATATGGAGACCAAAAGGTACGGTAATAACATCTCTAAGCCACTGGATAAACGGGAATACTTCTGTAGCCAAAACTTAGTAGAACTGTGCCTTTAAAGTAATCTGAAACTGGGTTGTACCTGGAGATGCTGGCCAGGGGACGGGGCAGGGACAATTGGGAGGAAGGTGGCCTTCGGACTGGGTTGCTCCCTTAGACTATGCAGGTTTTCTTTTTTACTTTTGTCAATTTTAGTCGTTCAGGTTTTAAAATTTGTTTTCATTTTATCTATGTTTTCTTACATAGAAGCATAAATTTGTCAGTCTTCTATGCTGTTTTGTATGAATTCTCTGTATGCGACAACTATTTGGAAGAAAACAAGAGACAATATGATAAACAGTGAAGATTTCAGGTCATCTAGCTTTGAAATTTACTAAAGGGATTTCCTCGGGCTGAAGGAACTAGAGATATCACACAGGAGTAAATATAAAATATATATATAACTACTTTACCTATCATTTTCTAATTCAACTATGTTAAAAATTTCCCACTCTGTGAAATTTTGAGTTTATTCCTATAATGCTTGACTTTTTTTTTTTGTCTTTTTATATCTTAAAGTATACTTACCATTTATTTTCAGGTTCGAATGCAAATGAACCTGAAAATAATATCGGTTTTAAAATATAATGACCCTGTAATTTAGTTAGCAAGTTTGTTCATTTACATTTATTTTTATTACCAATGTGTTTAAAGTTAATTAGGCCATGTTTGTATGTGCATCTGATATGTGTTTTCTATTTGCCAGCTTTTTTTTTTCTTAGCTGTACTCATCCTCCACTTTCCTTCCTGCTTTCCTAGAGTATTTCTTCTCCTACTACTTTTTTATTTTTATTTATTTATTTATTTTTTGGACTGAGGAATTGAACTCAGAGCCTTGCACTTGCCAGGCAGGTGCTGTGCCCAAAGTTATTCTTTTTTTTTCAAAGTGACTTTTTTTTTAAAAAGGGGGTAAAATTAAACACAACAAAACAGAACAAAATAGAACATAAGAAAGCAATGTAAAAGATATAAATTTCAAAGCTAGATGACCTGAAATCTTCACTGTTTATCATATTGTCTCTTGTTTTCTTCCAAATAGTTGTCCATGTCTTCGCATACAGAGAATTCATACAAAACAGCATAGTATAAAACTGATCTGAACAGAATGAAGAAGATGTTTTAGGTCTTCAAAACCAGACAATAGAGAAGACACCAGTGGCTGTCATAGAGTCTCTCGTTCTCTTCAAAATAGAAGTTCAACAAAACAAAACGGGGGGAAAGGGAGGGGGAGAAGTTGTTTGGTTTCCTGGCACTCCAGGTCCCAGCATGGCACAGGTCCCAGTAAACACCAGTGGCTCCCATCCTGGGCTGCTGCAGCCTGCCATGCTCACAGCCGCTCACAGGGTGGTGGTGGTGGGGTTTGCTTCAAGCTGTTTCTTTGTAATGAATTGACCATTTCACCTCCCCAGTTCTGAAATGGCCAACAGACCATAGAAAGACATCGACAGAAGCTGTCGGCCTTGATTCAGGGCCAGTAGAGTTAATCCTTATTCTTTATCTTTCTGCTAGTTTTGAGGCTAAAGTATGCAGCTCTGTGTTTTTGATGCTTATCTCTATTTCTAAGGACATAAAATGGCAAGTTTTGGAGTAAATCTAGTATTGTGCCACCTTCTCCCTCTGGCAAATAGGCTAGGACTGTGCTCAGACAAATATGCTAGGGAAGTGGCCCTGGTGACTCAAGCAACTTAGCCCACTTCCACACCTAGCTCCATCTCTGCACGAAGACCATCGAGTCTCACCTGGGTTCCTCACCCAGTACTGTGGCCCTCAGGTTCCCTCCAGGCAGTGCATGGCAGCAATCCTGGGGTCACTTTGTCTACCAGCTAGTCCTAGGATACTCAATTTCTTTGAACAGATCGATATTTAATATATTCTTCTAGCTATGTCATACACACAAATACAAAGTAAACAATTTTACTCCATCTTGGCTGAAAATAGAAGTCTTCTCATTTAAATTCTTTTAAAGAGATTAAAAATTGAGAGCAAATATATTTTATATTTACTCCTGTGTGATATCTCTAGTTCCTTCAGCCCGAGGAAATCCCTTTAGTAATTTCTTGTGTTGCTCACCGGCTGACAAGGAATTATCTCAGCTTCTTTGCACAAAACTTTTTTCATTATTAATGTGCTATAAAGTTTTAAGGCTTTTTGAAAGCCTTGTCAGAGAGCTCAGAATAGGGTTGATTGAGCCCTACTTCTAACCTACAATCCTCCTGGAGTCTACATGGTGATCCAGGTCATAACTCAGATGCTACTGGGCCCTCTGATTTCAGGGGACAATACTTCTCTGTGGGTTTCTTCACCTGGCGATGTGCAGGGCTGTTTCCCGGGCGTGACTGTTTGCAGACACTTGAATCTTTGCTAAGAACCCAGGAGCCCGGTGCTGGTGCTGGGAGCTAGTTTTCCATGCAGCTGCCTCCTTTTACAAAAAAAGGACAACCAAGGGTCACAGGCTCGAGATAGCAGTGTTGTGAACACGAACAGTGGCCTCTTCCCTGCATGAGGCAGAGAAGAGGCACAAACCCTTTGCTAGGACAGTCAGACACTCGTTGGGTGGGTGGCACTGGGCATCCAGCCAGAAGTGTCTAGTCTGAAGCCCCACTGCATACTCAAGGGGTTTCAGCTGCAGAGTTTGTGACTTAGGTGAGCTCACAGCCTCCACTTGTGCAAAGGCCGCACCTCTGTCTCTGCCCCTTCCTTTCTCTCCCCGGCTCCTCCTAGACTCCAAATCCTCCTGGCTCCTATCTGTGCACTGCAGAAAGAAGGAGGCTTTGGTAAGGCTGGAAGATGAGAACAACTTTATTGTAAACCTAAATATCAAGTTCAATTACCCAAGTATTGTAATCCTCTTTCTAGTTTTCCTCACAATCCAAAAAGTTACATTTGTAATTCCATTGAGACATTATTGGAATCCTAGCAAGTTAATCCCAATCTACCATCACCAATCCAACCCACAGCGAGAGTAAAGACACCAGGACATGTTCCACATTAAGGGCAGCCAAGGGGTCCTAAGTCCAATCCTTGCGAGGACATGTGGACAAAGGCCTCGGTCCCAGGCCTCTCCCAGCATTTATTCTCTTGTGAAGAAGGTGGGGTGGCTCAGGGATGAGTGATAGTGAGGATGTCTGGGATTACTGAGTGACTTGAGCTGGCTGACCAGGTGCAAGAATAGCATCTCTGTAATTTGCAGAGATAAAGATATGCAGAAGGATCAATTTACATAACCCAATTAAGGTAGCACTGGAATTGTTTTGGGGGGCTATGGTTTAGGTTTCTGATATGCAAATTCTTGTTCCCTGGGGAGTAATAGCCTCCTATCTTGAGGCTTGTATCCAGTTGACATTCCCTGAGCTGTTTGCTCTAACATCTCCCCAGCTCAATCCTGTTGAGGAGAGGACCATGCAAGGAAACAGGACTGTCTGATGGCTATAGATGTTGCACATTTGCACCTTGGCTAGCCTTATTTGCAATGCTCAGAGCCAATTGAAGAGAGAAGGAAATATCCTAGCCAGCTTTTTACATATCAGTATAAGGAAATGAGTCTCCAAGTATTCAAAGTCACAGCAATTGTTTTGATTCAAGGAGTCACTGGAGTTGTCTTCCACAAACTTGGTGATGGACAAATAAAGAAGACAAAGGGTGGGAGGTGCAGCTCAGCTTCGGTGTGCTTAGCATGCTCGGGGCTCTGGGTTCAGTCCCCACACCCAAAGTGGAGGCAGAGGTCCTGAGGGTAAAAGAATGTGGTGAGTCTGTGTCCTGCATGAGTGCAATGACACACTTCACATTTCCCAGAGGACACTGAAGCCAGCTGAAGCAAAGAGTTAAGTCAGAGGGTGTAGAGAGCAAGGGACCAGACTGCAGAGGGCTTTGTATGCATAGGGAAGGAAGGAATCTTTCCTGCCTTTATTTATTCATTAATTCATTTCTAAAAATCTGTGGGCTTCTGACGAGCAGACTTCCCTTGGCTCTGTAGACATTGGGAGCCACTGATACTTTTAACCCAAGGAACGGAGAGGTGAAAGAGGTACATGCCAGTAAGAACACCCAGGAGGTGGGGTCCTGTGAGCATGGTGAGAATATTTGCACTTGCTTACTGCCCCCCAGAGAACACACCCCACAGAAGGGTGGCTGTGTCTCCCGGCAGAGGTCTGTCGCAGTCTGTGTGTCAGCTGGCTGAGTGGCAGAGCCGGAAATCTTGTGTTTTGTCTCTGTTTTGCTTCTGTGTGACTCAGGCATTCATGCTCCCCTTTCTTTGCCTCTGCGTGTCCCTCTCCAAAAGGATATTAACAACAAGCCAGGCACGGTGACAGGGGTCAGGGGGATAAAAGACAAGTAATTTCTCTTTTAGCTTTACACCCTGACATTTCCTGACTCTTGGTAAAAATACCATGTGTTAATTTCTTTAGAAACATTTATTCAGCTTCTTCCTGATGTTGGGATACAAAGAGAACCAAGCAAACATCCCAGTCTCAGAGAGTCCTATGGAGGGATGGCACAAACATGAACAGTATGGCAAAGGTGGGTGAGTGGAGGACGCCAAAGCACATCTGAGACGCCTCGCCAGGGCCTCAGCAGTGGCACCACTTAGACCTGCTTTTGCTTTCTGTTAATCTTTAGGTCAAGAATGTCCCCCCAAAGTCACACTGTTTGGCAGATGATTGGATCATGAAGATGGCCCTGCTGGAAGTGTGGATCCCTGGAAGGCTGTGTTCTGGTCCTTGGCATCTCCCTCTCTCTTTGCTTCTTGATCACCATGCTATAAACTTTCCTCTACCTGGCCCTTCTGGCATGGAACAAGCAGCCATGGACTGAACCCACCAGAAACTGTAAGCCAAATAAACCTTCCCTCCTTTAAGCTATGGGTGCCGGAGACAAGAAAATGACTAAAGCAAGTCCTTTTGCTACTAACAGTGGTAACTCGGCCTCTACGGAACACTGTATCCAGAACAGACCTGGGGATGGATCAGGACATGGGGCATCACAGGCCAGCAGGTGAGGCTGTGGTCTGCTCAGCACTCTGGGTGGCACTGTCCATCCTGGAACAGGGCTGGGAGGCAGGGGCCTGCAATTGGCTGCTCTGGGCTCTTGTCTGACAGTGGCCCCTCTGTGGCCAGGGCGGGAAGCTGTGTTAGTCAGCACAAGCTGCCATGACAGACTGCGAAGAGACTTCTTTCTCTGCAGATCGGGAGGGTGCAAAGTCAAGAGCAAGGGAATTTCAGAGCTGTTTTCTGCAGAGGCCCCTTGTCTTGCCTTGTCACTGCTGTAGGGTAATCATTTGTGTCCCTCCCCAGATTTAGACATGGACACCCTAACCCCCGCTGGGTTGGGATTAGGGAAGTGAGGGAGGAGTCAGCACCGCCACTCATCCCCTTACAAAGGGGACCCTGGACAGCTCACTTGGCTCTGCCACCATCTGAGGACACAGCGAAGCCACCATCTATGCACCAGAAAACCCGCCCTTGGCAAACACTGAACCCGGGGTCTTGGACTTCCCAGCCTCCAAGACTTTGAGAAATCTGTTGCACATAAACCAGCTGGCGGATGCAATTTTGTTGCAGCAGCTGGACTTGTTACAGCAGCTGGCTCCTCTCTCCTCCCATGGCCTGTGCTGTCTGCATGTAAACCCCAGTGTGTCTGTGTCCCGTCTCTTCTTATAAGGACACGGGCTGGATCAGGGACCCACTGAGAGCCTCCCTTTCTGCAGTCACCTCTTTAAAGGCCACATCTCCAAGTATCATCACAGCCTGTGGGACCAGAGGCTGGGGCTTCAACAAATAGGTTTAGGGAGACACAATTCATCCCACGGCAGGAACCCAGCCTGGGCTCCCAACATCTTCTTCTTGGTGGAGACAAGAATGAGGGCAGGGGATGGGGCCAGTTCTTCTCTGATGGGAAGAGGAAGCCAGCAGCTTTGGGACAGGCACCACTGCACGGTGTGCAAACATGGCCCTTCTCCAAAAAGAGAGCGCTCCGCACTTCTGTTGCGGTGCTCTAAATAGCGCCTGCTGATGCTGCCTCAGCTTTTTGCAAATTCAGCACCAGTGCAGCTCTGAGGAGAGGGACCTTGGGCAGTGTCTCCTGGGCCAGAGAGCTGACCCCACCCCTGCTGTCCTGCCGGCTTCTTTCTCAGTGGCCTCCCCTTCTCTCTTCTGGTCTCATTTTCAGATTTTCAGGGCTGGCCATTCCTCCCCAGAGGAAAAAGGTGGGGGTCTGTGGCACAGAACAGGAAATTATTGCAAAGAAAGCCTGTTGCCATGGGAACCAGTTGTCAACCGCTCTTCTAAAAGGGAGGTGTCAGGAGTAGGGCCGTGGGATTCGCTAAGCTCTGCTTGGCTTTTGTCTTCAATTTGTGACAAGAACAATGAGTGATCGCAGAGGGGGGTGGAGAGGAAAGCGGTCATCTCTCAGCAATCCGAGGTGTGGCCTGCGTAGCTGCATAGCCCACAGAGTCTTCCGGCTGTGGCTGCTGCCCAGGGCCCCATAGGGACAGGACTAGGGGGCTGGAAGCCACTGTACAATTAGCTGAATGCAAGGCCTTCTCAAGGCTCCTGTGCTGAGCTCCTGCAGCTCTGGAGAGCTAACCAGCAGCTATGCTGGGGAAGTGGGGCCTGGAAATGATGAAATGGCACAAACCAAAGCCTAACACTGACAGTTCCTGCCACACAGATGCTGGACTACACCTGCCAGCCTGCCAGCCAGGACACAGACCCTGGGGACCAGGAGCTGTTTCTTTTATGTATGTATGTATGTATGTATGTATGTTGTATGTATGTAGGTATGTATGTATGTTTGTATGTATGTATGTATGTTTGTATGTATGTATGTATTAAGCACTAGTGATTGAAACCAGGGCCTTCTCAACACACTATATCTCCAGCCCTGTTGTATTTTGAGACAGGGTCACACTAAGTTGCTAAATTGCCCAGGCTGAGGCTCAAACTTGCCATCTTCCTGCCTCAGCCTCCAACAGTGCTAGAATGACAGGCATGGGCTGTCACTTGCAGCTGTTTACTTTTGCTTAGGTGCTGAGACCAGCCTGGCAGATGCAGGAAGGTGCTCAAAGCAACCCCTCCCTTAAGCCAACACTGGCCAAAGCTTAAATCTCAGCATGTAGAAGGGACTCAAACAACTCAACAGAAAGAAATGATAACCCAATTTCAAACATGGGCAGTCAGGTGTGGTGGTGCACACTTTTCCAGCACTCAGGAGGCCAGGGTAGGTGGATAATGAGTTCAAGGCCAGCCACGGCTACACAGTAAATCCAAGGCCAGCCTGATGATACAGCAACAGCAGTGAAATAGGCAAACGATCTGAACAGCCATTCCTTGAAAAGAAGATTTAACACATACATGAAAAAAAATTTAACATCCCTGTTTGTTAGAGAAATGCAAGTTAAAACCACTGTGAAGAGTTGCCTCATACCTGTTAGTATAGCTACTATTAAAAAGATACAAGAGGGCCAGATGTGGCGCCTCACACCTGTGATCCCAGTACTTGGGAAGCTGAGGCAGGGCGGTCGCCTGAACTACATAGTGAGACACTTTCTCAAAAATTTTTTTAAAAAAGATAAACAAGGGAGCCCTAACTTGTGGAAAGCAGAGAGTGAAGGGTGGGGCAGTAACAGCACCTGCCACCCAAGGCAGGTGGCCCTGGTCACCAGGTGGCTTTGAACCCTTCACGTCACCAAGAACCGGCAGAAGAGGCCTGGCAGAGGTGCCCTAGAAGAAGTGGGCAGGGCGCATGCGCCCTCAGGAGCACCTGGTTCCCTGCCCACCCGCTTTCTTCCAAGCATGCCTAGCGCCGCCCTGCTGGAAGCTACCGCGCTTTACAGCAAAGTCCGCCTTCCCCAGCCCCGGACTTCCTGAGCTCTGCACAAGCTCCCGCTTCCACATTCCCTGCACCCCTAGGTTTACCACCGTGATTCCTCCGGTGTTGGACAAGGCTGATCCTTCCCACCTACCCTGCCGTTCGTTCTGCTTCCAGAGTCTGTGGATAGGATTGCGGACTGGTGCGGGCAACTTCTGTCTTTCCCAGCGCTTGGCTAACTCCTCCCTAGTGGAAGCAGCTACTGCCCTGTAGGCGAGAAAGAGTACAGGCTGGAGTCAGGACAGGCTGTGGGTGCCTGCACCTACGGAGCGTTGCCCTGGGCCACCTATTCCATCTCCCTTGCCTCTGCACCAGTTACACACCCACCTCCCGCCTGGGAGGGCCCCGTCCCGTGATAAGGGACCACACACCAGGCTGGGTGCCCGGAGTGCTGTGAGGAGCCCGGCACTCTTCCACTGCGGTAGCCTCACCCCTTCTGGGTCAGCCAGGGGAAAGACCAGGGCCCCTTGATAGGGACACAAAGGAGCACAAAAACATAAAGGGAATACTATATGTAAAACATAAAGATCTGTAAATATTCCACCATGATGTGAGGCAGTCAGGTTTCTATATAAAAATGACTTCTTTTTTTCTTTTAATTCCTTATCGTGTGAACTCTGTACCACGAGCATGGGAAATGGCTTGGGGATGGTGTTCCACAACACAGGAAGACTGTTGCATTATTTCTTCAATTTCAATAGAATTATCTGTAGATCCAGTTTTTTAAAAAATGATAAAAGGTAAGTACTGGTCAGAATGTTGGGAAAAGATGTCTTAGTTACTTTTCTCATTGAGAAAAATTCCCGCCACCCTCATGTTAAAGGAGGAAAGGTGCATTTCAGTTCGCAGTTGGTAGAGCTTTAGTCCACAGTCAGCTGGCTCCAAGGCAGGGCAGAACGGCAGCTGGGCGTCTCAGAGGAGAAAAGCCATGAAGGGCAGGCCGGAGCAGGGAAGCAGCAGCAGCAGCAGCAGCAGCAGTGAGCCTGCCTTCTTTCTGCCCTTTTTCTGTTCCACCCAGACTACAAGCCTATTGATTGGTGCCTGTCTTAGTTACTTTTATCTTGTCGCTGAGACAAAATACCTGATGTCCAAAGTTGGGAAAGAAAAGATTTATTTCTTACAGTTTCCATCCATACTCGGTTGGCTCCAAGGCAGGGTTTGCCTTGCAAACAGCAAAGCAGAAACCAGCAAGAGAGAGAGACACTCCTTCTTCCTGCTATTACATCACATCCTGGCTCCACCCCTTGGCAGGTGTAGCCCTCACACCCCCAATCCAAGCACTAGACAATGAACCAATCACAAATGCATAATGCAAAGGCATGAGGCTTGGCGGCCACCGACATAAACCATGACAGTGCCACCCACATCCAGGGTGTAACTTCCATTACCCATGCCCGCCCTTAATCGCAGTATCACACACCCTAGATCCACCTCCCGGAAGTACCACCTCTGAGCACTGAGGCTTTTGGAGTGGGTGGGGCCATCCAGATGTAAGCCATAACATATCTTGAACATTGTTGGTGGGCATATAAATTGGCACAGCAGCTATTAAGGAAAATGTGAAGACCATTTCTCAAAACAAATAAAATATAAACCTGGAACTATCAGGTTGGGGATATAGCTCAGTAGTAGAGCCTGGCATGGCTGAGTCCTGAGTTTAATCCACATAGCACTACACACACACACACACACACACACACACACACACACACATACTAGAACTGTTTATCCAGCAGGTCCCAAAGGAAGGGGAATCAGAGTGTCCAGTCACACTGTTCCAGATTCGGTGGACAGGGTGTTTAAGGACACACCATGTTTTTCTGAGTCTGCCTTTCTGCTGGATAAAACTCCACAGCAGCTTTCGCCACATTTTTGATCACCTCTTAAAAACGCTCACAACCTGGAGAAGCAGGAGAGCCAAGTTACAGTCCGAGCTGAACTTGAAGGCCTTAGAGCTGTAGAACCAATGATGTAAATCCCTATCTGAAGGCAAGAGGAGATGGGAGATTTCCCAGCTCCAGTAGCACAAGAAAAAGCAGCGTAAATTCCTCATTCCTTGAACTGCTGTCTGATCACCCCCAGCAGCCTGGACAGTGTCTATCTGGGGCAAGAACCTCTGCTCCGCTGCTGTCCACTCCAGAGACCCCAGCCTTATCTGGAAGCAGTCCCACAGACGCACACAGAAGGAACTGGATCTGGGGATCCTGTGACCCATGCAGGGGACACATGAATGACACAACATCACACATCATGCGGGTCTGGTAGAAGCTGGGGCTCCCAGGCAACCCTGGGATCCAGGGAGCAGCGACTGCAGACAGCAAATAGTTGGCGGCACTCAGGAGATGGGAGGCTGGGAAGTGGGTGAGAAGAGACACAAACAACTCTCCCTGGGGGTCAGAGCACAGAGCCAGCGGCCTTGTGGCTGCTTGTTCACTTGACCCCCTCCCTAGGCCCTTCAGACACTGCACCCCCACCTCGCAGGTGAGCGCACTGGGCTTCAGGGGCCACCCACGTAGCCAGGAACAGGGCGAATGGTTTTGCCCCCAGACCCTGATTCAATGCCCCTGGTGCTGCTTTTTGCTACGAAAACATCAGCAAAGTCAGCTGAAAACAGGGCCGGGGGCCCCAGGGTGCCTGGAATCCCCTCTGCAACAGGTGGTCTTGGAGGAGAAAGGTGGTGGTCCATCCCAAGTCCTCAGCATCATGGGGAGAAAGGGAAAGGCTGCTGACAGGGACAGCTGAACGAGTGGCTTGGACACTTGGGCTGGCTCACTTGCGTCCCCCGCCTGTGGTCTGGATTTGCCCATCCCTGTCCATGGTGGCCACTGCTTCTTTCTTCCTGTGTGTCCCTGGTGTCTCCAGCTGGGCTGCAGGGCTGCTGCAGAGGCAGGCTTCATGCAGGCAGGAGTGTGGGAATGAATGAATGGATGGATGGATGACTGGATGGATGGATGAATGGATGAATGAGCCCTTAGCTGAGTAGCAACCAGCTCTAGCTCCCGTCGACAGGTGAGGGGTCAGACAGAAGTCAGGGACCCTCTGTACTCCTGAGCAGGTTCCAAGGCTATGAATTTCACACACATAGATGCTCACGCACACTTGGCTTAGGAAATAAGCACAGATGATTTTTAAACTACCTATTGAAGACCGTGTACACCAAACTTTTCATTTCAGCTGCTTTTTGTACAGAGGATGCTTGTAAACCACATTAGAGGAGGTAGAGGGAAGGTTCTGGACTTCTGAGAAACATCCGATACATTGTTTATCCAAGGCCACAGACAGGAGGGATCCAGCACCCTCCTTGTGAGATGTTTCCATGGAAACCATGCATGTGCTGTGTGTGTGTATGGAAGGGCAGCTTCCAGCACCATCAGCCAGCTCTGGGGACAATGTGGAGCCTGAAGCAGGAGGCTCCAGGCAAGGCGTCTGGGGACAGCGAAGGCCTGCTGCTCCGCTCCCCTCCCCCTCCTTGCCCACCCCTCCCCCTTGTCCCTTGCCAGTCTTCCCAGCAAACCCAGTCAGTAAGTATACCAGTCCTCCTCGACCTTGAGCGAGCTCTGTTCTGGCCTGAGTGACAGGTCAGACAGGCATTTGCCTGGGAAGGTTAGAATGTTAGAATGTTAATTGTACCCTTTCATGTCAGAGGAGGAAATGAGACAGGGCTGAGGGCAGAGAAGGAACTTTCCAGAGCCAAGGTATCTGATTCATTCTGCAGCGTGGATGATGGTGATCCACCATAGTCAGGACAAGAGACCATTGTGCAGCTGCGTATCTAGACAGAGGTGGCGTCCCCTCCCCAAGCCATGCATGTCCTGCTTCTCAGCAGCTGCTCAGTCTTCTAGGCAGGAGCCAGTGGCATCGCCCTCTTTGCTCACAGTGCCAGCTTCATACCCATTTTCACGCCATCTGCTGATCTCACAGCCTGGGGACACTGCACGACCTCTCTGAGCCTCCACTTCCTCCCCTGTCAAGTGATAATACTAACCTGGTGCATTAGTTTCTTGCAGTTCAGAGAACTGGTATGCGAGAGGTCCCTAACCCCATGCCTGGAATGAGGAGTTGTTCAGCCAATGGCAAAGCCCCCTTCCTCTCCATCCACACCCTCTTCCAGTCTGTCCAGAGAGGTGGCATTTCCTCATTTGAAGGGCCTCTCAGCGGTCTCTCCTCTTCTTCCTTCTCTGTCTCCACTTACATGGGACACAAATCAAGCACAAATTAGAATCTGTTGGAAAAAGGAGCAGTAACTTGTGCGATATCAGAACCGGAAGCCCAGCCCAGTCTCATCAGGACTGGAAGCAGAAACTGGGAGGGCAGGGGCTCGGTTTACGTCCAGGGACCATCTGGTGTCTTGTCTTCATGCTCCTTAACCTCTCCGTCCCTCACTGTATGTTGCCTTACCCACTTCTCTGCTTGTGGAAGCAAGGGTCACATTAGCCCCTGGAGGTAGGGCAGTGTCTGGATCACTCCTCTGCCCTCGGGGTTCTCAGGGGAGGGGCCGTGGAACAAGGCCCCCCAAACTGCTGCTCAGTCCACTCATCCTTCATGGATTTGTTCCCAAATTTGGGACTGATGATTCAGTAGCTGCTTCTGTGGTCCAGACAACTCTCTGTCACATGCCCTGTCCTGGATGAGACCAGTTGCACTCAAGCTCCTGTAAGAAACTGAGTCCCATCTGGACCGTCGCCTGGCCACATGATCTCTGCCAGAAAAGGACAGAGCCAGTTTAGGAGGTGCCACTCATGGAGTAGAGTTAGAAATTTTAACAGCTGGGCACAGTAGTGTATGCCTGCAATACACTACTTGGGAGGCTGAGGCAGGAGGATTGCTGTAAACTCCAGGCTACATACTAAGACCCTGTCTCAAAAAGAAAAAGACAAATTCATACCTTAACAGACTGTCTGGACTGTGGTATCTGGAAGAGCCCAGCTTCCTGTGAGCTCCAGACAGAGGAGGGAGAAAGGAACACCACTCCGCTGTCCCGGATCCTTCCCCCAGAGAGGCGGAGCCATTCTCCTCACAGAGCTGAGTGGGCTTCCTCTGCTCCAAGTCTTACTTTGTCAGCTGGAGAGGTGCACAATCAGGAGCATCAGTCCTGCTTGGGCGAGTCCTGCAGGAAAGCGATCCATGGACTCTCGCACTCGGGTGACAACGATTTATTGAACGCCAGCTCCAGGGCCATAGAGCATGAGGCACTGAAGACAAACGGTGAGCACAGCCAGCAGTGTCTCTGCCCTCTGGAGCCCAGGGTCTCACGGCTGTGCACGGGACCCCGCTGTGTAAAACTGTGACAGCGACGCGCACTCTGTGGGAGAGCGGCCGCAGTGCTAGTCGGGTCTCCTGCAGGCGCAGCGGCTGCAGAGGATGGAGGAGAACAGGAGGGGACATCGAGACAGAGGTCGTCTGCAGCCGCCGGGGTCCGCTGGCCACCTCCGGATGCAGCGGAAGGGAGGGGCAGTGCCAGATTTGGCTCTTGCAGACCCCAAGAGGGGACCGCACGGGCCCAGGCGGGGGAGCACAGCTGGGCCCCAGCAGCTGCGCCTGCCCAAGATGCTTCTCGTGTGTTCTCAAGGCACCATCTGCTCTGCGGGCTCGGTCAGAGTTTTTGTGCCATACTTTTTAATCTGCGAGATGTTCCGCAGTCTAAACGTGACCAGGGACGTTCTGAGGGGGGGGGGCACTGAGCTCGCTCCCCATGACCCCGCAGCAGGCCCGGTTTCCTCACCCGTGTGTGAAAGGGCCGCTTGGAGCGGTGAGGAGTGTGGGCGCTGTGAGTGTGAGGCTGGTTGGCTCGGCTGGACGGCGCTCGCCTTCTGACCAGTGTGCGTCTCCACCATCCAGGAGGCGACTGTGTTTCCCACACCCATCAGCAGTGCTGACTGACTTTTATGCAAGTCAGGAGCAAAATAGTTGCGGTGTTTTAGTCCCATTTATTGGATCACAGAGTGATTTAGTTGATCCTCTAGATTGTTTACAGTAGATTACAGTTACAGCAAATAATAGTCTTGTCTCTTTTCAGTGTTTGCACTTTTTATTTTGGGTTTTTCTTTTACTTGTGGGAAGATTTTAAAAAGCCTTTTAAGTTACACAACATTTTTTCAGAATTCAAGCAATTGCCTGATACATGGAGCAAAAATAGCAAACTCACCTCCAGTTCTACCCCAGGAGTTACTGTTTCTAACAATGTTGGATTTTTTCTTAAATCACTGTATGCATAGCCTTCTTTATTTTTTTCCCTTTTGCAGTCATTTTTGTCATGACCATCTTGCACTTTTGGAATTAAGATTTTCTTTGTGACCTGGTGGCCAATTTTTATTCAGTATGCACCTTTGGTATGTAAAACTAATGCAGTCTCTTTTTCATAAAATTCTACATGTAATAATTAGTAAAATAT